ACTCTGCAGGAACATGGATACGAAAAGATCCGAAATAGCGGAATACATTGCACGAACGGGGCACGAAATCGACCGAAAGGTTGACTGCTTGTAGTGAAAATACGAGAGAACGCAATATCCGCGAGGCCATCGAAACAATGACCGAGAGAAGTCTAATGAACAGGAGCCTTGAAGAAGGCAAGATCAGCGAAAACTTCGATATTGCCTAAACAAACTCAGAGGAGACCAGGCAACAGGATGATCAGCAAAAAGAAGTTGACTGGATCAAGCTAATATCCTTAATTTTAGGAAAAGAGATTGCAGGAGAAAGAGAAAGGGGCAATCAAAATAAAACGTCTTGAGTGAGCCTAATTAAAACAAGTAGAACCACGACAATTGTGGGTTGGCACACAAGAGACTAGGACGTAGGAAGTAATGGACATGATATTACAGATAGAAATAGGAACGACGAGGTGGAAGCTAAAGCTATTTGTCTAACGATAGACGTGATCCTCAAATCACGACTATTCTTAACCAACGAGCTCTAGCTTCCACTGTTTCTATCTATAATATCAAGTCTATGACTTCCTATTCCCTAATTTCTTGTGTGCCAAACTCACAAACGTTGTGGTTCAACATTGAACCTAATCAAAACAAGAAGTACCACAACATTTGTGGGTTGGCATACAAGAGACTAGGGCATGACAAGTCATAGACTTGGTATTATGGATAGAAACAGGATGGACGCGGCGGCGATTGCAGCTAGTTGGCTGACAGTAGGTCCATGTAGCAAAGGCATGGCCAGTTTTCATGACTCGTTAGCTTGAATTTTGTTGTAACGATAATACCTTGCTCTGATGATGTTCGTCATATGACGGACAAAAGCTTAGCACTTTTTCACCGTAATCGAAGGAGATTTCCTCGGAAATAGCGTCAGCATGAATCTTCTAGTAAAGCCAATCTACGGCTGGTCAAGAGGGATCCGCCGTCCTCTTCTGGTGGAACCGACCTTCTGAGCTCTTCATCCAACACTTTCACTCGAAATGGAAGTATGCTTAAAAATTATGAAACAATAGCTTCCTCGAATCCCAACTTTTCCTGCATGACCATGAGACTTATTCAGAGGCTTTAGTCTGGAATTAGTCACCCAGAAGCAAGGAAGGGCGAATTGTGCCTCGAGAAGCACAGATGAGGGGCAAGGGTCGAGTAAAATACGTGTACCATGGAGATAGCAGACGGATTCTACGGGGCAAGAGGGAGACTCATAGGACTTAGGGAAGAAGGACTACGTAACAATATGGCAGACTCTGGTCAACATTCCCAGCACAAAGGTGAAGGGAGTGAGAATGATAGCGTGGTGTGTGAAGGGTTTTCATGAATGCCGCTAGAAGGAACAGACCACACCACATCGAAATAGGCACGGTAAAAAAATTGTGTCAGTGAAGACGTGATAGGAGAATATAGGAAATGTGAATAGCCCAGGGCAGAATGGAAGATACCACAACTGTTTAGCACACGTTTGTTCAAAGGATAGGCTTACCTGTCTCTTTGACGAGTTGTTGTATGGTGCTAAGAATGGCGAGACTCACTTACGATGCCGGTGAAACGTCTGGGAATGTACCACATCAACGGTCCGACTTTGGAAATGCTCATGCATACAATGGACTTTGGACAAGGTGCGCTCCTCTAAGTCTTTCAACCGATATGACCAAGTTGCGAAAATTATTTCTAACAACTTCTGTACATATTTTACTTTCAATATTAAATCGTACGAATAAACATGAGGCTTAGTAACGTGATCATGTTTGTCCCCGATTTTCGCTACAATTGCGTGGTTCAGCTAAAAAGTCACCTTATACAAGAAGTACTTTTAGTTTCTTAATTACGAGTTATGTACATGGATGACTACTTTACCGTTCGGCAACAGGGCAACGAACACCTAGAAGACTTCCTAACGTTAATGAATATGATCGACGGGAATATCAAGTTCACCATGGAAGTATAAAGGATGGTAGTCTACCTTTTTAGATTTCTTACATAGCAAAGAGGGAAGCATACTAGGTAGAAATGAGTAAAGGAAATCCACAAATCAGGGTTTCCCTATTATACTTCTTTTCAAACCATACCTATGGGATCACAGTAGCAGTTATGGAATCCACGATAATAAGGAGCGTGTGTCTTGTATATCCTAATAATCGGGAGCTATTAAGGACAATTTTAGTTGAGAACGATTACCAATTTGGACCGATTGAAAATTGCTTTCAAATATTATCAAATAGGATGGAGGGAAGCATTTATTTAGAGCAAGATAGACAGCTGGACCACTACTAGGGTCTTGATGTCACCTTTGTGTCAGTTCTTAGCGCCAATGAATTTCCAAAATCTCCCCCAAAATGCTTTTTATTCCCTACGGCATTCGAAATATGACCATGTACATCATGCCGACACCACACCATTACGCTACACGACAACGGCGCAAGTTGATCATAGGGCAGAGGCTTTTCTCTTCGAGCTAGTTCTCGCCAAAATCACACTTTATAATGTGATTTTCGATGAGGCATGCTTGTATTTGCCATTGTAATCGACGAGGTTTTGTTGATTTTTTGGTAAGAATATGTTTACAAAGCAGGAACTTAGCTTCGAAGACTACTCTCATAGGAAATAAGTACTTTTTATATTGTAATGGTAAATATAAGTTTGCTTGATAAGCAATCACATTATAAAATGTGATTTTGGACAGGCTTGGCTTGCCACATCAGTTTTGTGACTCCCTGATATCTGTGGCTGCGTGGTTGGATAGTAACGTGTCGCCCCGAGGCTCACGACTTGGTTTCAAATCCCGTTGAGGGTGCTAATTGGACCTAAATGAGGTCGAAGCTGTATTCAAGCCTGAATGAGAACTTTTGGGAGGCAAGGTTTAGTAAAGTTTTATGGTCTACTTATTCTAACCTTCAACAATCGGCTCTTAAATGGCCTCTAAAGTTAATAAGTTCTTATTAACCGCTACGCTATATGCAATATCTAGCTCCCGGTTTTATGTTTAAATAGGTTTTTGGGCTATGCTGCAAACAGGCGAACTAGAAGTCTTAAAATTAATCAATTGTAGAAATTATGTATACTTACTATTTTACTAGCACCCAATTTTTTTCGGCACGCCTGCTAGCTTAGCTTTAGTGGTATATGATGTTTTTTATTCAAATAATACCTGCCTCTTCATACATAAATCCATTTTTCAACCTTTTATTAACCGCCTCCATATAGCGAAAAATTCACATAGGCATCACTAGCCTAATAAATTATTTGCCTGAATACTTATTTTAATTTGGGCTTTCTGTTTATATAAGAATTGTTAATTTTTTTCCTTTAGTGCCAAATCGACTCCTTGTTTGCCAAATAATTCCGATTCCTCAGACACTGACTCAGATAGTCCTCTGTCTCCATCTGATATTTTCTCAACTGATGATGACCTAGCTCGAGCGCACTCGCCCCATTCCTTGGCTGGCCTACAATGTAGGCCTTGTTCCCGCATCACCTCCAGACGCTCGGTCGCGCCCACTATCAGCCACGAATCGGCTGACGAGTCATCGCAGTTTGTGGATTGCCAGACTGATCAGCCAGTTGTTTCCTGCCCCATTTGGACCCCTCCAGCCTTGTATCGTCAACTGAACAGGCTGCCAGTCGAGAATCGGCTTGCCATCTGGCGCTTTCCATCAGTCCCATCCCAGTCGCCTCTAGAGGAAGATGAGTGATTAATGAGCACAGTTGGCCCACTACACTTCTGCACATCTACTCTCTTGGCCATACTCGTTTAATCACTCTTTGCTTCGTGTATAACCAAAATATAAACCAACTGTACAAGGCTAATTATTAATTTGGTCATCTATAGAGTCTTATTTCTTATATGAGCTGTATTCACCCTATTTCGCTTAAGGTATGAATACCAAGATGGTGGTGTCTTTTGTATGGTCGCGGTCTCCTTTCGTTGTATAGTAATTGTTTGAACTTCTTTTCGCAACTTGGTTAGATTGGCAGGAAGACCTGGAGGAACGCACCTTGTCTGGGGGTCCAAAGTATGCATGATAATTTCCAGAGTCGGAAGATGGGCTTGGCACATTCCCAGGCGTTTAGCCGGCATCGTCAGTGGGCCTTGCTAATCTTAGCGCCAAACTATAGCTCGTCAAAGTGGCAAGTGAAGTCGATCCTTTGACCAATTGTCTGCTAAACAATTGTAGTATCTCTTCTATCCTGGGCTATTCACCTGTCCTATATCCTCTTTCCACCCCTTCACTATCACACTTTATTAATTATTTATTTAAATGTGGTATGGTGTGCCCTCTTGAGCGGATTTCATGAGATCTCTTCACACCCCACGCCAGCTATCTCACCCCACCTCCTTACCATTGTGCTGGGATCATTGATCTCAGTCTGCCATATTATTCCACAATCCTCTTACCATAAGTTATATCAGAGTCTCTCTCTTGCCCCGTACGATCCTTCTTCTATCTCTCTGCTTCAGGTATTCCACTTAACCCATGCCACCCTATCTGTGCTACTCGAGGCGTTATTTCCCACACTCTGTCTCAGGCCTTTGATGGCACATATCCCCCCCTCCTCAATGAGTGGGCTGACAAAGTCAAGCTGGATGGGAGACTAACTTGAGACCATAGATCACCAGTACTTCTCATCGTCAAGCCTTTGCTTCATGGACCACGTCTATGATCAAACATGACTATTGTCAGCCAAATAGCTCTAGCCTCCACCGCATCTATCGTGCTTCTATCCATAATGTCAAGTCTATGACTTTCTATGCCCTAGTCACTTGTGTGCCAGCTCACAAATGTTTTTATTAGGCTTACTGTATACGTCTCCTCTTGGTTCCCGATTGTTCCTTTCTGGTCTCCTTGCGAATTATTTTCCTAAAATTAAAGATGTTATTTTTGGCCAGTCGTCTTCTTTTTCTTATCTTCGAGCTTGCTTAGGAAATATGAAAAGTTTTCGCTGATCCTGCCCAATTCAAGTCTCTTATTCTTCACATTTACTTCGGTTAGTATATCGATGGCCTCTCGGATCTTGCGTTTCATCGTATTTTCACCATTTGCAGCCATTCTGTCGATTTTGTGTCGCGTCCGTATAATGGGTTAGGCTATTTTGGATCTTTGCGTATCCATATTTCTGAAGAGTCTTTGATGCTCCTTAATTCGCATACTGTTCCACCAATATATTTCTGCTCACAGTTTCCAGTTTGTCAGTCTTATAGTGTTGTGTCGAAAGACTGGTAAAATCCGTTGTCCTCTCCCTTGTTATCACCTTGATATTCCATTTTCTTCATAACGGTCGCAATTTTGGGCTCAGTTCACATGAGGGCAGACATGTGCACATTGGGTCGTCCTTCTTCCTAATCGGATTTTCATAAAATACGAGTTGAAATCTGCTCTATAAATTCCATGGGGTATCCGTTACTAAGCTTCTGATGACCAAACTTCTCAGTGTTCCTATCTTCAGCCTGTAGCTATAATGTTCCCTTGTGCTTTTTTTTCTGTATACTCTCCTCATGAGTGTCCCGTTGTAGCGCATGACTTCAATATCCAGGAAGGATAGTCGTTCATCTTCCACTTCCATTGTGAATTTAATTTATTCATCATGATGGTTAATAAAATTGAGGAATTTGCTCAAATTTTCGTTACTATGCGACCAAAGTGCAATTCATTCAGGTATCGCATAAACACTCTTGGTTACATTGGGGACTTCTCGAACAATCTGAATTCAAGAGGGGGCGTCAAAAGTGAGGCTAATTCAGACAAGTAGAACATAACCATTTGTTGGTTGTCACACAAGAGACTATGGCATAGGAAGTCATAGACGTGGCATTATGGATAAAAGCACGATAGATACGGCTGAGGCTAGAGATGGTCGGCTAACAGTAGGGATGTTTGATCATAAACTTGGTCCATGAAGCAATGAGAATTATTCGGGATCTACAGCCTCAAGTTAGTCACACATCCAGCTTGATAATCCAGACTTTGTCGGCCTACTCAAGGAAGTGGGAGTATGCGTGGCATCAAAGGCTTGAGGCAGACGCATCGAGTATTAAAGATAGAGTGGCAGGGGTCAAGTGGAATACCAGAACTAGGAAGATAGGAGACGGATCCTAAGGGGCAAGAGGGAGACTCTGATATGACTTATGGGAAAAGTATTGCGGAATAATGTTGAAGTACCTTTTATTTCATTTGAAGAGTCGAGTGGAAGGGATTCGTAAGTTAGTTCTACCAGAGGCTGGTGGGATTGCCTTGGAGCTGCCGTAGATTTATGCGAATAGATCCTCGGCGCACCGCCCTGCGACCCCGATGAATCCTTGCTTAACGATAATTCAGCAAAAACACGAAGGCAATAAAGGTGGCCGGCTTCAAACTTACTCCCTTATTATATTCCAATTCGGTCCACTTATGCATCTCATATTTCGGTTGGATGTCTTATGCTTTGCCTCTATATTTGCTCATCAGTTAAGTTAAATGGCTGCGGATAACATATGAAATGGCTATAAATGAAGGATGAAATGGGTGCAATTGAAACCGGACAGCTGCATCCTCTCCTAAGACATTTATGCCTTCGATCCTACAATGTTACCGCATGTGATTGCGTCACATTGCACACGTGTTGTGTGATTGCATTACTCTCGAAATGAGTGTGAGGTGAGTCAAAACCGAATTCCAGCCTAATCAAGCCTCTTGCTCGGTGGTCATTCTCGTTCCTCCCCCTCTCTAAACCTACCCAGCGGCCACAATTCGTTTCCGCTTAACTTCCTACGCTCATTTCTTCTATTCAGGTTGTTGGTTGTCTTGTTGATTTCTATCGCCTTCATAATCTTTCGTTTACTGGTACAGTCTCCATATCCAGCTAAGCGTTTGGCATTAGACCGATCTATTTGGTGTCCTCTGCGAGCCATGTGTTCGGCAAATTCCGATTTTTGGACCCATATACCCTTGCAGGCTGTTTTGTGTTCGGATAACCTCTTATGCATGCGTCTACAGGTCTCTTCCACATAGGCACTATCACATGAACACA